TCTGCAGCAGCAGCAGCAGTGAGCTGGACCCTCCAGTGCAGCACGAACAAGCCCAGCTGCTGCTGGAGTTCACAGCCCACTCACCCTCACGGACATCCCTGGTTCCTGGGAGCCTGCCCCTGTGTCCCGAGGTCGGTCTCTGCTTCAACAGAGTACAGCAGAAACACTTAGCCCATTAACACTTGTCCTGCATCAGGACTTCTGATGGTATTTGATAAGCATGTTGCTTCTCAGCAGCCAGAGACCGCTTGGAGTGGCTTCCGACTCTTGTTAGAGACACAGGGCTCACAGCAAAGCCACACAGCAAGGTCTGGAAGCATCCGAGATGCCACTTGACCTTCCCGAAGCAAGGAGAGGAATTTGAGCCATGTTTGTGCCTTGCCTTGGGAAAGCAACCCCAGAGCTTGCCCTGCACCGTGGCTTTCAGAAGGGCCACGTGGCTCTCAGAAGAGCTACCCACAAGACATTTTCAGTTAGTCTTGGCCAATTCCAAGCAGGTTGAAATCAAGCTCTGATGTCAACACTGGACCACAGAGACAGACAAACGGGACAGACTGGCCTTGTTGCTCAGCAGGAGATGATCTGTGGTGCTACCCCCATGCAGGGAGGATGCAGACAGACCTATCACGGCACAAACTGGGCCTTCAGGGTTGCCCTAGCCTGAACATCTCCTGTCCCGATTCTCAGCAGATTTTGCAACAGCTTTAATGGATCCCACAGAACTCCCTCACCAAATTTGTCAGGTGAATAGTTCTGCTGGGAGGAAGGTGGCAGGAACTACCAGACAGACTATTTTCCTGTTTCACCCATCTGCTCCCCTGCATTCAAGCCGTGTCTCACAGGAGGCATCTCCCTGGGAGGCAGGTGGCCAATTTGCGTTGGTTTAAGAGCTCTCCCCATCCCCGCTCCACAAGCCTTCTCAGCCATGCTGATCTCACCACCTCCACCCACCTACCCAAACACTGAGGGCCGCAAGTGATACTGCTTGCAACCACCTCACACAGCTCTCCAGAGCACCTGCCTGGCCAGCACAACCATGTCCTCCATGTTGACTCAAGACAGGGTGGAAAGAAACCCCAAACCCAGTCATCTCTGCAGGGGGAAGGCAGCGTTCTTACCCCAGCCCCCTTACTTGTGCTTTGCTACATGCATTCAGGTGGAATGGGCTCCTCAGGGCTTAAAGTCTCTAATACCACAATGAAGAACAACCTCTTCCCATCAGATCCGCTGCAATACCTTCACAGCCTGATCATGACTTTGAACACTGGGGCCCATCCAAGTGCCATTTTATACTCAAGGGCAAGGGATAAGCAGCTCCAGATGTCAACTCTCATTAACCAAACATCAATATAGCAGGAAGGCTGACACATCGGCTCGCTTGTTTGTGTCTGCGATGTGCATCGGCACTTCCAAGGCAGGGGATCAGCATGGCCTGCAATGGGAGCCGCCTGCACCACAGCACACAGCACACCTGGTCTGAGCTGACACAGGCGCCCTCCCAAAGCAAACCGTGACACTGAACCCCACTGCACACCGCCGGGTGACATCCAATCCTCTCTTTTGCCAGACAGCAGAGCCAAAACCACACAGGGGTTTCGGCATCAGATGGAGCAGGGAGCAGTTTTAGCATCCTGCGTACCCAGGCATTGGTACCAGTTCTCATGCTCCCACCTTGGACATACCGCCACATCTCTGGGCTCACAGCAAGCCTGCCCTGCTCCGAGTTAGCCCAGATAATTCAGATGGCTCAAGTCAAATCAAGCCCAGGCTCAAATGCTCCACTCCCACATTTTCACACGGGAGATGCAAGCAAGAAAAGCCCAACCAAGAACTGGAGAACATTCACATCCTTCAGGAGCAACAGCCCCTCAACAGGCTCCCCCTCAGCCTCCCGTCACCACAGAAGTTTACAGATCACCACCATCTGTTGCAACGCCCAGATACGGGGATGATGGTCTTTAATTCAAGCCCGCTTGCTGCATTGCGGTGCTGAGGCACTCCTGTTCCTGGGAGGCAGGTGGGTGGGCATGTTCAAGCACATACACGCTATGGCCCATCTCCCTTCCCACAGGAGACAGAGGCTCAGCGACCAAAGGCGGTGGGTTTGCAGCCTGACGCTCAGAGCCAACCCTTGGCTGGTGGTCCCTGCTGTGCTGCTGGACCTCCCTAGAGCCCACCATTAGGGCTAAAGTTGGACTGTGTCTAAAAGTCTCACTGCAGCTAGCTAACGAGTTCTCCTTCTCCATTGGAGGCACAGGAGGTGTCAGCTCCAAGGCTTCTCAATTAACCACCGACATCCCAAACTGGTGCGGCCGCAGCCAGCCTGTGCTTACAGAGGAGGGATGGCTCCTGGAGGGAGAGCTCTGGCTGTCGGGCATCCCAGTCCTGCGTCCCCACTGAGAGCAGCCCTCTCCAGCCACATTCCCGACCGTCACACACCCTGGCGCTGCCATTCCAGGTGCATGAGGGCAACCAAAGGGGCAGAAAGCAACATTTCAAGCTGAAAAGCTTGAAGGCAATTTCACAGCAATGGAGAAACTTTCCCCTTTCCTCAACGCTCTCCAAAGCTGCCAGCATACCGTTACCAGGCACACCAAGTCACTAGAAGTAGGACAAGCCTCAGAACATTTCAGGTGGCAGAGGATTTGTTATGGAGCATCTTCTCCAACCTACTCCAGAAACATGAGCTCCCCCCACCTCACTAGGGGAGAAATGGGGCAGACCACAGCTCTGAGCACACACATTGCCCCGCAGCTGAGAGCGGGGCTGTGGCTGGATACGGGGATCGCATGTCCCAGCTCATCCCCCAGGCTCCTAGAGGAGCCAGCAGATCCCCAGGCCCCCACAGGGTGGGCGATGCTGGGGGCAGCAGGTCCAGGGCAGCCAGAGAGCCCCCCAACTTCATCCCCACAGCCCCAGCAGGAAAGCCTGGCAGTTGCAGGGCTCTCGCTCCCCCCAGGTTATCCAGGAGGTTTCAGAGGCACCCACTTCAACAGGTCAAACCATTTATCTTATTCCTAACCAGGTTTTGGAGCGGCTAACCATGAAATCAGCCTCTCCACGAGCATCCCATGGGCAGAGGAAGATACTGGGGACTTGCCCGGCTATTGTGTACGGCCTCCGGCCCACAAGCAGGAGCAGGGACACGAGGCAGCTGACAGGCACAGCTCGGGCCCATGGCGCTGGGGGCAGCTGCAAGCTGAAAACAGCGTCGGCGGGACAGGTCTGGCAAACCGGCACCGTCAGAGCTGCTGCAACTGGAGCCACCTGAGGTGCAAAGCTTGCCAGCCTGACTGTCAGGAAGTGAAATGCACAGTCTGAGCCTTTCCAAGGAGATCTCTGTGCCAAGCTGCAGAGAGAGCAAATAAGAAAAGTTTCTACATAAGAACAGGCCAGTTCCCATTATTAAAAATCCATTAAAAATGCCTCTGGAATCCAGTGCTACCCGTGGCCCCAGTTACCACACTCCTGCTCCCTGTTTACCCAGGCTGCTTTGAATAAATACAGAAAAAAAAAATGTCCAAAACCTGTAAGGGAAGTGGAAGGGGGAGGCAAAGAGCAGCAAGCAGAGAAGAAATGAATTACAAAGCCATGCAGAAGACAAGAGCCCTTCACCCCTGCAGTCCCCCAGGGACTGAGGGAAGCAGGCAGCTTCGCATCCAGCCAGACAGATCTTTAGCAATGCGCTACAGCACGCGCCAAATGCTGGAAATAAAAGGAGACAGTTCAGCCATATCCATCTCTGCACGAAGTAAAAATAGAGATGCCAGGAGCTGGGCACGTCTGCCTTCTTCCAAGGTGATTTAAGGAGAGCAGCCGTAGACTTCAAATTACTTTTTCTGGTGACCCAGAGAGATGCCCTCCCAGGGGGAGCTGGCATTGCACCTCGGGCAAGAGGAAAGCAGAGGACACGCATCCCCCTCCCCTGCCAGCAGCAGGTTGTACGTGCACATCCCTGCTTCCAAAATCCAGCCATATCCTAAGCAGGCAGAGAGTCACCAGCCACCCTGTGCTTAGCAGCAGGGACAGCCCCCGTCCCAAGTGACCCCCTCCGGCTTCGAGTCCCATCTATGTCGCACACCCGCTGCAACAGGTACAGGCAACAGACAGCGGTGGAGGGACGGAGATGCCGACAGCTTGGTTGGTTTTGGTTTTCTGGGTAGGGAAGCAGCAAAAGCTGCAACAGTCTGAGGCGGCAGCTGTTGCATTTGGCAGCAGCTTACGCAGGACAAATGGACTGTCCTGTCGTTCCCCTTCCTCCTCAAGGACAGCTGAAGAGTTGGAGACTGGGGTCTGAGCCGGCACTTAGGAACAGCCCTGGGGTTTTGCCAGCTGAAGCCTACTCGAGTCAGCACATGGGCTCGGCCACGTCTGCTGGACCCGGAGGCTCCAGCCAGCCCTGCAGCAGGGAAGGGGGTGCCTGGCCCTGTGAGCGTGGGATGAGATGGATGGCAGAGCCACCCCGTGTGTCTGCACCAACCGCACGCAGCACAAGGGACCGGGACACACATTCGTAACAGGCTCAGAGGGTACCTGGGGACTGAGATACTCTTTGGAAAACTTGTGCACACCTGGATCCAGATAACGGGGGAGCAGAGGGAGAGAAAGTGCTGTGGGAGATGAATGAGTCTACATCAGACAAGTCTTCATTTCATGGAAACCAGCCATGGGAAGCCAGAGCCCCCTTTCCTCATCCCTCTCCATCAGAGCCGCAGCAGGCAGCTATCACCACCAGTTTTAATTAGATTCCCTCAAGTTGCTGTCTGTATGCACAGAGCTGCAGGGACTGAGAACCTCCCGTGAGCTGGGAATGAGCCACCTCTCCCCCCCAGCCCCGCAAGCCACAGGGGCCAGAAACAGCCCCAAGCGAAGGGGGTGATGGATCTCCCTGAGCCCCAACCACCCCCCAACCGACGGCAGCAGGGAGCTGCCCTTGACGGATCGATGGGCTGTTGCAGTGGCAGCAGGAGGCCACCTCGACACACAGCACCGCAGCTCCACCCTGGAGCGAAACCTCTGGATTCAAGAGACAAAGATCACAAGTTTTGCTGTGCCCTGAGATCTTCTGGCCCTGCAAAGCCCCTGCCCTGGACCTGCATGAAGAAGATGGGTTTGGGGTTGCCCACACTCCCAGCAAAGCAGGAGCAGACAGTGCTGGGAAGATGGAAAGCCTAGGAGTCAGCAAGACCCGCAGACAGAGCGAGTTACTCTCAACCAGTTTATAGACACTGGGTAATTCCTAGAAAAGCTCCATGAAAAGTGGACACTGAGAAAGGTGAGACCGCAAAGAGGAGCAGGATGAGGCCTTTGTACTGATGGCATTTACACAGAAATGCACTGGTACAACCTCAGACACAAAGGGCTCATGTCCTCTAAGCAGGAAGGCTGGAAGCTCACAAGATATGCTACTCCCCTGGTGTCCAGCCCTCATGCACAGATACACTGAGACACTGCTAATCAAACCAACAGCTCCTAATTAATTCTCAGCTGTCCCCAGCCTTCTGGGTCCATCCTGTCAGTTCTTGAGACACAAATAGTCTTGGGCATTTCACAAGCCAGCAAGGCAAGAGCAGAGCTTACGCCAAATGCTGGAGGCAGTGGCGGGTTTGGCACAAGGTTAAGGATTGTCTGGGGAGGTTTTTATCTTCTTCCTTCCCAAGAGCCCAGCACAGGGGCAGCAAGGGGATCTGGCCTCTAATGGGGAAGGAGAGGAGTTGTCTAAAAGCATGTTGTTCATGCTTTCCATCTCAACTCAAACCCAAGCCCGTAGCCAGGCCCCAGGAGGTGACTTGTCTGGAGCTGACAGGCGTCGAGCAGCATCTCCCACACCACCAGCAGCCTCCAGCACACGGAGGACTCGGCCGCTGCTCCCCGTGACCCGGGAGGACATCCCACCTCCTGCAGCCTGCCAGCCCATCGCACAAGTCACACCCAATCCAGCTCTCTTCTCTGAGACCGCGGGACAGGCTCCCAGCGAAGTACTGAGTCGTTGCTACAGTTTGACCCATCTTTGCCCCTGCGGGCAATGCTCCTGCCATGTACAAGCCCAGCTGGGGCTCAGGACCACCCTGCAGCCCCCTCTGCAGCAGCACGAGCTTTAGCACCGTTTAATCTCCAGAAGAGAGATCTGCTGCTCAGCCATTCCTCCCCCAGGCTGGCACTTGCCCTCTGTGCCCTGCAAGAGACTGAACCAGCCAAATCACTCGCAGCAGTGGAAGGGACAGTCCCTCCCCTCCTGGCCCTGACCTTTCGGTGAGCTGATTTCCAGGGCAGCAGAGCCAGCCCCGCAAGCCCAAGCTCAGCAAAACCCACCCTAAGGGCCAGAAATGCCCGTTCTCCCCGGCTGTAGCAACCGGGCTGTATTTACGTCCTGTCAAGCGAAGGCAGGAGGACCCAGCTGGGTCTCCCACACAACCTGCAGGACGCCCAGACCCACCCAACACAGCCCCACGCTGCAGGAAGGCTGGACCAGCTCCCAAACGCAGCCTGTAAAAACTCCACCTGTACAACAACAGGGGAGTGACAGCTCTGCTACACGGGCAAAGCGACCCAGAGCCATTATTTTGGCTACACGTGAGTTATTTCAGCCAAGAGTCCAGCGCAGCACAAGGAAAGGCACGTCCGTGCAGGTAGTATCAATACACGGAGGATGTCCTCACTCTAGCAAATGCAGAAGTCTC